TTTTTTTTAATTTTAATTTTTTTTAATATGAAAAAGTGTGAATTTACCATATTATCCTTATTTAATTAATAATTTAAATTTTTAATATTTGCATTAACCAATGACATTTCTAGTATTTTGAATGTTTCACCATTTTTTTGCTTTTTGCTTTATATATATAGATATATATATATATATATTCCATTTTTATTAAGGGATCCCTTGAATAATTTTATTTGAGAAACACCCTTTAGGGTCCTCTACAAAAAAATTTAACAATCCAAACCATCTATTTTCACATATTCATTTAGATATCATCCTTGCAAAAAACTATGCAAATTGAAAATTATTAAGGCATCTAATTGAGACTAACAAAATCAATGAATACAATGCTTCAAGAAAGTACTTGAATTTAAGTAATGTAATTTAGGGGTGGGCATCTCATCCGAATTATCCGCGTACCGACCGTACCGTACCGACGGTATGGTTAACGGAAACAAAATTCCTAACCGGACGGTTTAATTATTCCGATCCGATCCGTACCGAAATATTTGGTTTGGTTAACGGAAACAAAATTCATAACCCGACGGAAACCCGTACCGATCCGATATTTATACTTATTTTATTATTTAAATACAAAACAAGAAACCAAAGGTAAATACAATCAGCATTTTGTATCACTCTTTTATCACCACTGTATCACTTCTTTATCACCATTGTGTCACTACTTTATCACCATTGTATCACTGCTTTATCACCATTGTATCACTTATCCGAGTACTGTAGCACTTTTTGGTCAGAGAGGAATTTATGAACTTCCTATGTTTTCCAGTTTCGACCTTTGTCCTGTTTTTTACCTGTAACTTTCCAACTGTTGATCCAAATTTTATGTTCTTTATATGGTTGGATTCAGCATGAAAAAATAAAGAACCCAACGCGGAACAAATGTCAAAATCATTTACATAAATGTAGAGAATTCAATAAAAAGAACACTCAAAAGTTCAAACAACAAACACAAGTGGCTCCCAATTCATCTTGAGGACATATTGAATGATATAGTGACTAAGTTGTTTGATTTCATACTTGGATGAATTAGGTTATTAGATTTTTATATTTTAAAAGGATAATTTGGTGTATTTGTTCAAGAACTTATGTTATGTGAAAGTATTATAAATTATATTTTTATTAGGATGTTTTTATTACGGTAGTACCGGCGTACCGACCCGTTCCGAACCGAATGTTAGGTTAACCGATCCGAAGTCTACCGAAGTCTTTGGTTTGGTTAACGATATTTATAGAGGGGATTTAGTATGCTCTTAGTGCTCATTTTCGATGTGGGACTCGTGGGAGGGCCCTATGAGGTTGACACGAGTCCTTAGATATT